AATATAAACTTAGTTATTTCAGAACAGGTTTAGATTTAGTTAGCAGTCTCTCTCTCCCTCTCTCTCTCTCTCTCTCTCTCTCTCTCTCTCTCTCTCTCTCTCTCTCTCTCTCTCTCTCTCTCTCTCTCTCTCTCCCTCCCTCCCTCCCCTCTTCCTTTTTTTCTAGTGATGGATTGTACTTTTCTAACAGCCTTATGACAATTTGTTCAGGGTAAAGACGGACACGGAAAAAAAACATACACACACAAACTTGTATGCCTTATTCAAGAAATCGAAGAATTTGGAATACAGAGTAGGTAGTCTAAGTTATTGAGAGAATGGCACAGAATGTTTCTAAGAGAATGGGTGAGAGGACGTACAGAGAAGATAGCTAAGAGAATTGGTAAGTTGGAAAGAAGGACAACTGGTTAAGAAAGGACAGTTTATGATCACCTTGATGTCCAAAAAATTCATGTAAGTGGTGGAATTAAAGAAGATGAATTAAAAAGCGGGACTAAATATACTGATAAAACTTACGAATCGGTCGAAATCTAGACATTTCGGTGATACCACGCCATATCCTTTTTACCCCCTGTACACTTCAAGATAATTGGTTGGTAGTATATATATATATATATATATATATATATATATATATATATATATATATATATATATATATATATATCAGCTTCATACCGGTGTCCCTAATATATGCATTACTGAATTTGTTGTGGTAGATGATAGCATAAATTAGCTTACGCGATTCACACGTAATGCTTTCCGAATAATGAAATAAACCCGTCGGAAATTGGAACAGAGGATCACAAATTGACATATTTTTGCATCTTGTCCGGCAGCAAATTAAAGTACCAAAATGCAGTGCTGTGTTTGATCGTAGTCAGTCTGCTTGTGATAAGTGTGTTTTTAGGATTAGGATCTCGCTTATAGATTGAATGTTTTCTCTGAACATCTTAAACATGTCCGGATCAGAGTGGAACATTTTAACATGACGACTAAAAATTCTGGAAACAAACAATTTTTTGGGATGAACGGATAATATAAACTTAGTTATTTCAGAACAGGTTTAGATTTAGTTAGCAGTCTCTCTCTCCCTCTCTCTCTCTCTCTCTCTCTCTCTCTCTCTCTCTCTCGCTCCTCTCTCTCTCTCTCTCTCTCTCTCTCCCTCCCTCCCTCCCCTCTTCCTTTTTTTCTAGTGATGGATTGTACTTTTCTAACAGCCTTATGACAATTTGTTCAGGGTAAAGACGGACACGGAAAAAAAACATACACACACAAACTTGTATGCCTTATTCAAGAAATCGAAGAATTTGGAATACAGAGTAGGTAGTCTAAGTTATTGAGAGAATGGCACAGAATGTTTCTAAGAGAATGGGTGAGAGGACTTACAGAGAAGATAGCTAAGAGAATTGGTAAGTTGGAAAGATGGACAACTGGTTAAGAAAGGACAGTTTATGATCACCTTGATGTCCAAAAAATTCATGTAAGTGGTGGAATTAAAGAAGATGAATTAAAAAGCGGGACTAAATATACTGATAAAACTTACGAATCGGTCGAAATCTAGACATTTCGGTGATACCACGCCATATCCTTTTTACCCCTGTACACTTCAAGATAATTGGTTGGTAGTAGTATATATATATATATATATATATATATATATATATATATATATATATATATATATATATATATACACTAAAGCCTGTTACTGATGCAGAGTTCTATTATTTGCGTGCAAGATTGTGATGAACATGTAATGAACACAAATAGTTTATGACAATAACTAAGTCAATTACAACCGAATATGACGACAGTAAACAAGTCAACAATTTACAAATAAACGAAGTGCCTATAGTCACTATGTTTATTTTTAGTTCTTGTCATACACTATAAATATTTAGTATGCTTGTATTCAGTTACTATCATTAGTTATATATATTTAAATGTATTTCTTCGGTTGCTCTCATAAACTACATCTAGTCTATACGTTCATCCTACATGTTCTCATTAGGAACACATTTAACGGTACTGAGTTTATATAGTGTCATAAAGTGCATGTTTTCATGATAAATGTTCTGTGTTCAGTAATGGTTTCATCTCTGCAGCAGCTGATACAACGACATGTTGTCCTGATACCAGCGTATTTCATCTGTTGCTCCTGAACGAATTGCTCTCATCTCAGTTTCCTTCTTAACTCGTGCCTGGCTGGGCCGATATTTAATACCAGTTCTTGCACTCTTAGAAAGATGTGGATGTGCTGCTCCCCAAATCCTCCAATCGTCCTACCTCTCTAATGGCATTAACATTGTCTGCATGATCCATGGGCCGCCCTCTGTATCTAAGGCAGAGTATCTGGCAGCTCTTTCATTGCCAATAACACTCGCATGCCTTGGGATAAAGATAAAGGTAACTCCACGCAATGACCTGATCCGCTGTTTGAGTACAAAGTCCACCTTGACCCGACTCTTGTTTTTGAATATTGAATTAAGAATCGACATAATAGCACTCTCGTTATTGAATACGATAACTTTTGGTTTCCCTATTGATGTTTTCAATGTGAATTTGTGTAAACCTAGGAAATTATATCTGTAAATCTACACATTGATGTGTGTAAATCTATAAATCATCTCTTTCAATCAATATAAAATACTGATTACTCAAATAGGAACTACCAGGAATTTTCAACAGGGGCATGTTATTCAATGTTGGCTTTCTGGAGGCTCTACGGTTGGACAACTTTGACTGCTTCATCTTCCACGATGTGGACATCATCCCAATCAACGACCACAACCTTTACAACTGCAACCATGAGCCAACTCATTTTCTCACGGGAGTCAATAAGTTTCAATACAAGTAAGTTGGGGAGTACCCGTGGCAGAGCGGCTAGACTGGAGCCGGACATTTTTCAAAAATGACCTTGGCTCCTAGGTCAACCCAGCCTTAAGTGGGTACCGGGTGCAGTTCCGGGAAGTAAAGGCGGCCAGCGTGATGCTGACCATGCCACCTATCTTATGCTGATTTTTCTATAAAATATAGGTCTAGCCCTATATGCCCTATACGTCTAAAGGCGTGGAAAAGGGCCCTTTACTTACAAGTAAGTTGGGCACTCGCCTTCGGTGTTTTGTCTTAAGTGCTGGCTTCAATAAACGAGTATATGTTGAAGCTATTTTTAGAGTAGACAGAAACGTATATGATCATTCCAATAATTACTAACAAATATGGCTGATTTTAATTGGCCTAATAGAGTCACACAATACACATACCGCGCGCACAATCACGTGCGGTCACACGGAAATTCAAGAAAAATTTGACTAAAAAGCTCAACAGGTCACACGGAAACAACGTTATATTGCATTATTTGTTAATATTACATAGAAACACATTTTTATAGTCATCATATACACATTAAGTCGACACCAAAATGATTGTTTTCATAACCTAATTGACACATTACACTATCGACTGAAAAGAAGGAAAGGTGCCCATCATCGATCTAATTGACACACACGTAGTGTAAGCATTCCATTAAGTTTATTAACTGCCAAGTAATAACTCACAAATCCACCTCAGTGGCTGAGAGGTTAAGTAAACGCGTTTTACAATCCTCAACGTGCCCATGTAAGACTTCACAGTCTGCGGTTTAGGAAAAGACTGTTCTGGTGGTTTAACGAACAATGGTAAGGGATACGATCTGTGTATGCCTGGGGGAAAGGGGTAGTGGTGGAGGGGTGGGAGAAATTGTGATCCACGCTAAGTAATATTTTCAAAGACAGTAGTGGATGAACATACCCACTTAGGCTAACGTCTTTTGTAGCAGAGGTAGCGCACTAGCACGACCAATGGTCTGCAACCTTTTTTTTTTAGGTGACAGCCCCGGAAATATATAGGAAGGACGCCTACACCCCTCACCTGGTCGGAATGAAACAAATCTACAAGTCAAGAGGTCAATCAAGAAAGACATGGATAAAGTCAATAAAACAGACACTTCAGAAACATAAGCTACACAACTAGCAGCAGAGTATCTAGCATCCAGAGAAGAAGCAACTTTGCACTGCTGAAGGTAGATTTGCATAGGAAAAAAAAGCCACAATAGCAGTGTTGGTTCTACACGTCCTCTAAAAGATAGATAATTAACTTTACTGCAGCCAGCAGAAGACAGGAAACTACATCCAACTGCCACACTTAATGGCATGAGCAATAGGCCAACAGAAAATATATAGAGGCGGCGCACGCGCACACACACGCATGCACGCACACACACACACACACACACACGCACACACACACACACACAGCAAAGAAAGCAACGCAAGTTTGAATCTGTTTTATTTCTTATCATCATCATCATGTACACGGCCAATAAGCGTTGGAAGTCATGTTTCGTTATCTAATATGATCTTACATGAATCAGGTCAAGGCTGTTGACTCGCGCCATCCATAGTGTCATGCCATCTAGGTATTAATCCCCTGCCTTCTCCTTTCTCTCTTTCCATCAGTCTTGCCACACGTCACGAAGTGCTCGAGTCCATATCTTCCCTAACATGATGTCATTTCTACAGACTGATGTATCAGAACATGTTTGGTGGCGTGGTGGCCTTTACTCTCCAGCAGTTCACCAACATAAATGGTGCCTCCAATCTCTACTTTGGATGGGGAGGGGAGGATGATGATTTACAGGAAAGGTATAGAAAAAGTTGCTATAAATTTGTTTCGTTCTAAAACAAAGTTATGTTTACACGGGGAGACAGCTGGGGCTACGCCCAATCATCCTCATGTCTCATCCGGAAATTGTGGAGATCTTGTCATAACTAGATGTGTTCAACATTCATGGCTGTGAATTAACAATCATGACCAGACTGCAAGAGCAATATGTTAAAAAAGGACGTGACCATACCAGAGCACTATACAGGAAGCCAAAGACGCATAAGAAACCAACATAGAACTGGTGTCCGTGAACCGTTATACTCCGGTTCGTTTTACTGAGGCGGGGATCCGAGCACTTATGGATTGAATGGGTCGGTTTGCAACGATATAAGCTGTTGACTTACTCATTTATTCAAAATGCCTATAACTAGTTGTTGTTTTATGTATGTTTATTTATTCTTCTCAACTACACACTTTCAATTTGACTTATTTCGTTCTTGTCATAACTCTGTTGTTATTCTCATACACTAAATATATATATGTTCATTATCCAGTGTTTAATTCTACTCAAGAACTATATACATTCGAGACGTTTCTGTTAAATTCTTTTTCTTTTTTTCGTCTCATTGATACCAGGCTGTATCCCAGCGACGTGGTTTTCTGTATTTGTCGTACGGTCACCATTTCACGTCTCTTTCTTTGTCGTTTCCTGCCCTTCCTAACAGAGTTCTCAGTTAACGTTTTTTGTCAAAAACTTGTTGTTTCTCGTAAAAGACACATGCTCTATCATACCCTGCATGTATATTTAATATTCCGCTGTTTAATTCTTGTCATTAAACGACATACAATCAATACATTCGTGTTACAATGAAACAGTAAACTAATTATTTAAACACAATGAGTTTAGATATTAACCATAGCCTGCATTTTTTAAATATGCGTATGGTTTGGTTGGTTTGTTTGAAAAAAAAAAAAAGTTCTTGTCACCCTAACCAGCTCCAATAGTGAGCGGTCGTTATTTTGGGACTGCGTTTATTTGTTTGGAATATCCAATAGTTTTTTTCAATTGTGACGAACTGCGTCTAGAAGTAGTTTCCTTGCGTGTTTCTGCGATGTTGGCCATGATTGGGAGTGGAAGTTTACTAGTCCTGAGAAGGACTAGTAAAGTTTGCCGGGGTGGCCTCGAACGGGTGGGAGGGATTGGGTTCGGCGATTGACATCATGCCTGGCTGGTATCGAGCTGTGGGGCGTTCTCCGGGCTGGGTGGTTGGCTGGTTCAACTGTCATGGCGGCTGGACTGGAGGGCGTGGGTTAGTTTCTCGAGTTCATCTCTGGCCAGTTTGTCTTCGTATGATCCCGCATATTTGGCTAGTTCTGCGTCTATTCTGTCTGACTCTTCTTTTGCTGCTTGTTTCGCTTTTTTGTCTTCCTCCAGTATTGCTTCGAGGTCTTGGTCTGCTATTTCTGCTGTGTTTATTCTTGCTTTCTGTGCTTTTTTTGCGGTTTACGACTGATTGCTTTTTTCGTTCCGCTTCTTTCCTTGCGCTTTCTTTGGCGTCCATAACTTCATTGGTGGCTTGCAGTGCGGCGCTCAGTTTGGCGCATTCTTCGCTTGATTTCTATAGCTTTTCTTTGGTGTCTGTCAGGTCTTTTAGCCAGATAGAGAGCTAATAACTGGCATCATGAGAGAAAATAGACTGAAATGATTGGGGCATATTGAAAGAATGTTAGATGACAGAGAAGTAAAAACTGTATACACAAGGGAGATGAATGGTCGTAGACCACGAGGCAGACCAAGAAGATGATGGAGACATCATATCCAGACAGACCTACAAACACTTGGTATCACCAACTGGAAAGAGAGGGTCAACCAGAGAGATGATTGGAGACGGGTGATATCTGCAGTAATGAACCTCAAAGGCTCGGAATTCTGAAAAAGAAGAAGAAAAAAATAGAGAGCTGATTTAATCGCAACCGAACTACTGATCCGCATTCTCTCGGCACGTCGTGATATGCAAAAGCTGGAATTTGTCGTGACGAAATTAAAAAAATTCAGATGGAAAAGGCAGCAGATAACCAAGATAGAAAATGTTAGAATACTTGGCACCTCGCACGGAAGAATACCTGTTTCATAAAGTCTTGACATTGAACGAGACAGGAAGGTGCCGACAGAAATGATTTCTGTCAAGGTTTACTAATAGTTAGAATTGGGACAGACGCGACTTTTGTTTTCTGATAGTTAGAATTGAGACAGAAGAGTGTGTGTATATTTATAGTTAGAAATGAGACGAAACAACTCAGGACAGACATGATTACCTTATCAGTATTTTTATAGTTAGAATCGAGACAAAAGATTGAGGACAGCCATGGCTACCTTATGTGCATATTTATTGTTAGAATTGAGACGAAACAACTCAGGACAGACATGATGATTTTCTGTGTATATTTATAGTTAGAATTGAGACGATAAAACTCAGGACAGATATGATTACTTTATGTGTATATTTATAGATATAATTGAGACAAAACAACTGAGGACAGACATAATTACATTCTGTGTATATTTATAGTCAGAACTGAGACGAAACAACCCAGGACAGATATGAACCTTGTAAGTATTTTTATAGTTAGAAATGAGACAGAAATCTGTACAGCCAGAAAGGGCTACAATGTTTATTGATATGTGGGCTTAAAACAGTTTTTATCGATTGTTTCTGTCCTGGCATCCATCTCCAGAGTCAAGCAAAAGGGCTTCACCGTCATGCGGAAAGATTTCAACGTTGGCCTCTACGACATGATTAAACACACCAGAGATGCAACTAATAATGCCAACCCGCTGAGGTAAACGGTTCTATTTCCCAGTCTTTGTTTTCTGTACAAAGAAACGGACAAAAGAAAGTAGTAAATACAGACAATAGTGACAGAGATATAGCACTTAACGGTCGACAAGCACACTATTGTCGAAATGGACGCAATGTGTTAAGTTTCTAAAACTCCTGCAGCTGAACGTCGGTTAATCAGAAATATGTAACTGTGTTCATAACTAAAGAGCAACAGATATTGTCCTCATTATCACCATCATAATTATCATCATCATCTCCTTGTCGGTACCTGTCTTGATAGCTTGTGTTGGCGACTATGCTTGTTTACATTTAGCCCTCTATAGCAGTATAAATATTCATCAGTTCATGTACTTCTATAACAAAATGACTGTTTAGAAACTTCCCTTTCCAGGCTCCTTCATCTCACTAAATCTGTCCAGTTGTTACAGAACTTTCCAGTTTATCTCAATTTATAATGTGACCAAAGTGACCGCATTTTTCTCATGTTTGCATCACATTGTTTTTGGTAAATGTTTATTTGATAACATTCGAATTACTCATTTTGTCTATCCAAGGAATTTTGAGGTTATCCTCGTGGAATTCTTTGGCGTATTTACTAATTAATTGCCCATAATTTACAACCATGTGTGATAACTTTCTGTTTCACAAATTATATTTTAGTACCTTAAAAAAGTGATATGGGAATCGCAGGACATCACTGGGCAGACGACTGGTTACCAAACATTGAAGCTGAATTTGTGATACTTCAATTTTAATTCACCCTACACGAAGGAAATCTGCATTTTCCCGGCATTTTCAATAGTCTATGGCTGTTATGAGTTGGAGTTAGGATTATTGTTGGCTGGAGTCTCTGAGGCAGTCGGGGCTGGCAACAGTCCCCCCCCCCCCCCCCCCCAACCATAGCGCTCAGGCATTCTCTTAATATTGTCCTAATAAATTCATTTCAAACCATAACACTGCTATTACGGGACTGTCTCGGGAACTCCCGATTCCCCTTGCTTTGCCTTCCAGATGGACACCGCCTAACATGGGTACCATACATAATCCCTGAAGTTAACGATGCTAACTAGTATATAGTGTGTGGATCTGGCACCATATGCTGGATACGCCGTTAGCGTAATAAGGGTCCCTTGTTGTGCACACTAAAGCTAGGTATTTACTGTAGAGAAAGCCCTATAACTACCGTTGCCGCCTCGCTAGTAGCATTCAGAGACATGCCGGTGAAGTCTTGTCCTGAAATCAAATCCAGCGACTCTCATCAGTCTGATTAATTTGTTTTAGCACAGATTCTCATCAAACTGATCAGTCTGTTTTTTGAACAAATTCTCATCAAACTGATCAGTCTGTTTTGCACAAATTCTCGTCAAACTGATCAGTCTGTTTTTGCAAAAATTCTTGTCAAACTGATCAGTCTGTTTTTGCACAGATTCTCATCAAACTGATCAGTCTGTTTTTGCACAAATTCTCGTCAAACTGATCAGTCTGTTTTTGCCCTAATTCTCGTCAAACTGAACAGTCTGTTTTTGCACACATTGTCGTCAAACTGAACAGTCTGTTTGTGCACACATTCTCGTCAAACTGATCAGTCTGTTTTTGCACAGATTTCATCAAAATGATCAGTCTGTTGTTGCACAAAATCTGTCAATCTGATCAGTATGTTTTTGCACAGATTCTGATCAAACTGACCAGTCTGTTTTTGCACAAATTCTCGTCAAACTGATCAGTCTGTTTTTTTTTTTTTTTTTTTTTTTTTTTTGCACAAATTGTAGTCAAACTGATCAGTCTGTTTTTGTACAGGTTCTCATCAAACTGATCCGTTTGTTTTTCCCCTTTCGGCGTGCTGTCTTGAGGTTTCACTACCACTGTGTTCTCAACAATCTTATTCAGGATAGTTAAAACAAAAAGTAAAGGTCCCTTTTCCATGCCTTTTATGCATAGGGCATATAGGGCTAGATCTATATTCTGTAGACCAATCGGCACAAGATGGGTGATGTGGTCATCATCACGCCGGCTTCCTTTTCTTCCCGGGACTGCACCCAGTACCCACTCAAGGCTGGGTTGACCTGGGAGCCAAGGTCATTTTTGAAAAAAGTCTGACTCCGCCAGGCAGCGATCCCACCACCTTTCGATCCGCGGCGAGCGTCTAGCCGCTCCGCCACGGCGACTCCTAGGATGGTAAACCAACAGACTAAATCTATGATACATCGTTCAACATCCCAAGATGTAATAATTGAGAAATAGCTGTCGTCTGTATGAACTATTAACTGCTGTATCATGTAGTCCTACGGGCTTGAAAATCAGGGTCCTAGCAGGGAAAGACATCTTTACACCCGTGGGTCTTGCTAGTTACACTCGCTATCGCCACAGGTTGTGACTGCCTCTATATAGCACCAGACAATACTTTCGTCAATAAAGACTGAACAGTGCCAGTCAAAACAACACTGTGGTCCTATAAAGTTAGTTGCGTATCCTTTACAGGACGTTGCAGAACCAACCCCGGCATATTTTGGCTGTTGTGGTTTTACTACGCAAATTAACCTCTAGTAGTTTGACATTGCTTCCTAGACAGTCGGCTGCTTGATACCTCTGTTGAAACCAATGCAAGGCCCGCAGCTGGAATCGAATCCGGCACCCCGGCATTTCAAAGGTGTTCCTGTAAGGATGTGTGATATTGAAAATTCTTGATTACATGTGTCACTTTGTCAAACACTTATTCTCTGAACCATAATATGGTAGTCTCCCACTTATTCACGTTGCTGTTTTGTAACGTCTGCATTTGGGATAATTTCTCATATCAGAACAAAAGTATGTCCTAGCCAGATTCTTTTTTTGTATTCGCCTTTGGAAAAAAAAATAAAAGGACTTGACACATTGTAAAGTGGTTGAAAGCAAGGCTGCGAATTCTGCTTTTTTTTTCAGCCCAACAGTCGTCTTTTACCGATTAAAGGGCAGCGAGTCTACTATATTCCCATAAATGGGTCCTCTACCTTTTTTACTAGACTTCTTTGCTAGCTGCTGAATAGAGGAAAGGAGCGTTTATAGAAGCTGCTTGCAGTTCTGTGAGATATGTTATGTTAAATCCTTAATAGCTGAATCAGTTTTTCTCGCCACACGTTTGCCATGCTAGACGTGCTCTGACTGAAAGCTCTTCTGTATGCTATCTCACAGAAAGCGGTTGTTAAAGTTGGCTGTAGAGAGGCAGGACACTGAAGGACTCAACACGACAGTATACACCAGACACAGTGTCACACAGTTTCCTCTATATACGTGGATCAAAGTGTCCATTAACATGACTAGGGTCCTTCAGGTGAGAAGCATTATTGTGTTCCCTTGTTCTACATGTGCGAACATTTAATGTTGTCATCTGTTTTTCTACATGTGTGTACAACTGATGTTTTCATCCGTTTTTTTTTTTTTTTTACAGAATACATCTAATGTTATCATCTGTTCTGCAGGTGAGAACATCTGATATCGCTATCTATTGTTTTAACAGGTCCGTACATCTGATGTTACCGTCTGTTTTTCTACAGTTTAGTACATCCCAGTAGCACTTACAAATGGTGCACCAAGAACAGGTGCCGCTACTGCGTACTATTGCATACCGCCAGAAAGAAATGATGTATCTTGTTTAAACTACGCATGTAGCAGAAAATGTCAACACCTGAAGATGTCTTTAAAAAATACTTTCCATCGTTATTGAAATAAACGTTGTTGTTGTGGTTTTGTTACTTAGTTTTCAGCACATGTGATCATACGAGCTACACTTATCAGCCCATGTGATCATACGAGTTACACTTATCAGCCCATGTGATCATACGAGCTACACTTATCAGCCCATGTGATCATACGAGTTACACTTACTTATCAGCCCATGTGATCATATTAGTTACATATACGTATCAGCCCATGATCGGCTGAGTTACTTATCAGCTCATGTGATCATACGAGTTACACTAACTTATCCGCCTATGTGATTATTCTAGTTACACTTAATTATCAGCCTATGTGATCACACAAGTTACACTTACTTATCACTCCATGTGATCATACTAGTTACACTTACTTATTAGCCCATGTGATCATACGAGTTACTCTTACTTATCAGCCTATGTGATCATACGAGTTACTCTCACTTATCAGACCATGCGATCACACGAGTTACACTTACTTATCAGCCCATGTGATCATACTAGTTAACTTACTTATCAGACCATGCGATCACACGAGTTACACTTACTTATCAGCCTATGTGATCATACGAGTTTCACTTACTACAAGCCCATGTGACCATACGAGTTGCACTTACTTATCAGCCTATGTGATCATACTAGTTACACTTACTTATTAGCCCATGTGATCATACGAGTTACTCTTACTTATCAGCCTATGTGATCATACGAGTTACTCTTACTTATCAGACCATGCGATCACACGAGTTACACTTACTTATCAGCCCATGTGATCATACTAGTTAACTTACTTATCAGACCATGCGATCACACGAGTTACACTTACTTATCAGCCTATGAGATCATACTGGTTACACTTACTTATCAGCCCATGTGATCATACTAGTTACACTAACTTATCAGCCCATGTGTTCATACTAGTTACATATACGTATCAGCCCATGTGATCATACTAGTTACACTTACTTATCAGCCCATGTGATCATACTAGTTACACTTAATTATCAGCCTATGTGATCACACAAGTTACACTTACTTATCACTCCATGTGATCATACTAGTTACACTTACTTATCAGCTTATGTGATCATACTAGTTACACTTACTTATCAGCCCATGTGATCAAACGAGCTACACCTACTTATTAGCCCATGTGATCATACTAGTTACACTTACTTATCAGCCCATGTGATCATACGAATTACACTTACTTATCAGCCCATGTGATCATACGAGTTACACTTACTTATCAGCCCACGTGACCACACGAGTTACACTTGCTTTTCAGCCTATGTGATCATACGAGTTACACTTACTTATCAGCCCACGTGACCACACCAGTTACACTTGCTTTTCAGCCTATGTGATCATACGAGTTACACTTACTTATCAGCCCATGTGATCATACGAGTTACACTTACTTATCAGCCCATGTGATCATACGAGTTACACTTACTTATCAGCCCACGTGACCACACCAGTTACACTTGCTTTTCAGCCTATGTGATCATACGAGTTACACTTACTTATCAGCCCATGTGATCATACGAGTTACACTTACTTATCAGCCCATGTGATCATACGAGTTACACTTACTTATCAGGCCACGTGACCACACGAGTTACACTTGCTTTTCAGCCTATGTGATCATACGAGTTACACTTACTTATCAGCCTATGTGATCATACGAGTTACACTTACTTATCAGCCCAAGTGATTAAACGATCTACACCTACTTATTAGCCCATGTGATCATACTAGTTACACTTACTTATCAGCCCATGTGATCATACGAGTTACACTTACTTATCAGCCCACGTGACCACGCGAGTTACACTTGCTTTTCAGCCTATGTGATCATACGAGTTACACTTACTTATCAGCCTATGTGATCATACGAGTTACACTTACTTATCAGCACATGTGATCACACGAGTTACACTTAATTATCAGCACATTTGATCATATGAGTTACACTTACTTATCAGCACATGTGATCATACGAGTTACACTTACTTATCAGCCCATTTGATCATATGAGTTACACTTACTTATCAGCCCATGTGATCATATGAGTTACTCTTACATATTAGCCCATGTGAGCATACGAGTTACACTTACTTATCAGCCCATGTGATCACACGAACTCTACTTTGTATCTCCACAGACTGCCCCTAAAAACATGCAGCACATTGGGGACCAGTTGCTCAAACATTTCTTGTCTACAGAAACAAAGTCTATCAAAGTCTAAATGTTAGGACAGTAGAAGCTGCCCTTCAGATGTAAACGACGTTGACGACTGTATTCATTAACACGAATATGACGATGATATTGGCAATTGTCACATTTGATGATACTGGTTGTGATTATGATGATAATGATGTGAATAATGATTATGATGCCGATAAAATATTTTGTTGTGAGCAGACAACCCTCATATAGCCATATTGACACAAATACATAAACACACATACATACACAGAGTAAAGATGCCTTTCCAAACTGAGTAGTGGCTAGAAATTAGACTGTCACCCGAAGATCTTGTATTCAAAACCATAACGAGGTAGAATTTATAACTGAACTAAAATTCCCGGTCGGTAATATCTAAGAGGGTACCAGGAAATATTATGAAAAATTATGGCCACCAAAGTGCTATTAATCACACTATCCGCTGAGTGCCGGTCGGTCTATGAAATGAAGAGTGCAGAATCGTATGCCTGATACACCACTGACTTCAAATGATTAGTGTCTTCCTGACGTTCTCCGGAGCTGAGGCCATAATGCTACCTGTACTGGTGGCAGCTGGTTGTGTGCTGGTGGTGTCTGTCACAAGGTAGATGATGTTACACCCAGCTCTAGTCGATGTCCGTATAACTAAGCGTTCATGAGGTACAAATCTCTACAACTCTTGTTGGCACATTTCCGTTTTTCCAGACGATAGTGCTGTATTGTTCACCCACAGGGAGGTATGGGATCACAACCTGTGGCTGAGAAAGCGACTGTTAAAGTTAGCTGTGAAGATGCAAGCAGGACACTGACGGATTGGATACGACAGCATACACTAGACACGGTGTTAGTGAGACTTCTCCTAATGTGACGGATCTTGCTCTTTGCAGAAATCGCGGCCAACTATACTCATGTGTAACTCAGTGCCCGTTCCGTGTCAGTTGTTAAAATGGGGCACGCAACCTCTTGATAATCATGTCCTCTAAATGTGAACAAACATAGTTTTCATATTGCTAATATTGTAGTATTTGAAAAAAATACACTGTTTAATGCATTAACAGTCAGCGTGCTTACAATTGAGTCAGTAACGGGAACTTTTCAAAACATCAAATTTACAGACGTTTCACTCTCAGTTGGTCATCTCTAGCTATAGTTTTCTGTGAGTTTTGTATTTTTAATTGTATGCTTGATAGGCTATCAAAATAATCACCTGGTATCGCTGCACATAGGATCATGAGATTTCAGGACCACAGTTGCTATAGCATGCTATAGTGTGTTTTCTCTGAGACCCAACTCTCGACATGTCGGCAGTCATTTTTGCCTAAGCCCATGTTTCCTCCCAGACAGCTACAACCCCCCCCCCCCCCCCCCCCCGCCGTGTGTCCAACCACTGATTATATTCTAAAATGATATTTTGTTTAGGGGCATAGTAGATAAACTAACGAGTATTTGTTGACAGCTGTAACAGTTGCAGAAGAAATTGAGACCTTGTAGTCGTTTTATCATCCTGGAATTTCCTCATTGCAAACGATAACAGCGGCTTGCCACAGGAACCCGCACACTTCGGTCCATTGCATTTGTTTCTTTTGTTGAGATTCTGTTCTTTTTTTATTGAAAATCACTGCACATCTGGTATTGCCTTCAGCTCTTTTGTGTGTTTGTTAGTTTAATTTGTCACTGAAGCTTTCACTTGAAACGTTCACAAATATGTATTCCCTTCTGTGTGTGTGTAGTCTTCTTTTCACTGTGTGTTTTATGTGTAGTTATTGTTTATACAGTTGTTGTAGCGTATTGATAACATTTAGATTGCTGCCTTTGGCCATGTTTGTCGTGTACAGTTATGTTGTATTCTCTGTTACTATACGATAACTCAACAGTGCAACAACATCCAAACTCCAGCAGCAATTGAATCACTGTCAGCAGTCAGCTATTATGTTGCTGTTTCACCATGAAGCAATACGTGAAGTTTCACAGATGTGATTATTCATAAGGAGCATTTTATTTTGATTTGTATCGTTACCTCTGTGGATATTGTCAGCAGTGGATACACATTCTGGGATACAATAAAGTCTATGTGAATTTTACATGGCGATACCCAGATCTTGGCCACGACAAGAGTCTTACTGAACCAAACCATGATCATAGTGTTTGTCTACAGTCTGTGTAGAGGAAGTAGAAAACGGAATGATTGTGAAAAGTGTTCACTAACCTCTGAGCTACCATAATGACAATAAGTTCATCAGCATAAGAACATTTTTCATATCCAAAGAATGAGCTGTCCAAACATGAGCTGTCCAAACATGAGTTGTCCATGCATGAGCTGTCCAAACATGAGCTGTCCATACATGAGCTGTCCAGACATGAGTGTCCAAACATGAGCTGTCCAAACATATGTCCAAACATGAGCTGTCCAAACATGACCTGTCCAAACATTAGCTGTCCAAATATGAGCTCTCGAGACATGAGCTTTCCGAACTGAGTCTCTCAGCAGATGAGTGTGTCGGCTGCAGTGTTAAGGTGTGTCGAGCGTTATTGATGTTAATGAATGTATTTCAGTGTTGTTTACAAATTTATATTTGTGGAGAAATGTGTCACTGGTATAAAAGATTCAGGTAACTCTGATCTAAAAAGGAAAAAAAAAAACGCAGTAAAAAAAAAAAAAGAATTGTTGCATGTAATGGATATCTAGTTGTGGTGTAGCGGCTTGACGCTCACCTGCGCATCTGAAGGTCATGGGTTCAGGTCCTGACGGGTGTAAGACTTCTTTTCTGGGTGTTGTAAAATGACCTTGCTCCCAGGTCACCCCCTAAATGTTGACCACATCACCCACCGAGTGACAGGTTTATAGAATAAATGTCCAGCCGTAAATGCCCAATATGTCAAAAGGCGTGCAGAAGGGCCCTATACTTTTAGTGGATCTCCTACCCAACAGATAAAGTAGATTGAGCCATAATATTGTCCTGTACGATTCCCTTCTCTCCCCTCATCCCCCACAGCCTCCTCGCCGCCTTTCTCGTCCCTTACCGACATTCTCTCATACTGGTTACTTGAATACGACTTCTATAGTGGTTAGCTCTTCTGCTCATTGTGTCACATCACCTGTTAAACAAACGTCCACCACACAAACTAATGCCACTTCATGCGAGGACAACAAACGGCCACCACACAAACTAATGCCACTTCATGCGAGGACAACAAACAGCCAGAGAATACTGTCATCTCTCTGCATTTATTTGATGATTTATCACAGTCTTCTTGTTCGCCTTCATCTCCACTCCACCCGTTTCTTGGTTTCTCTTCTTCTTCTTTACTTTATACCTAACCCCGCAAAGTCCTCAGAACTCTTGTCTATCGAATAATACTTTTTCCTGTTAATGAAACGTGTCTAGTTAATTTTTCTAGGCATTCAGTTACCCAAAGGCCACATATCAGATGTGAAGCCAACAGGGACAGTTAGTTTCTGTTTTCCCCTACCAGATTTATTGCTGCCTGATCAATCTCGTATTTTAGTCACAGCCATGAAGTCACAGAAATAACCCAGTTCTAAGTGCGCCCCACCAACAATGATATACTGCTACACAAAATCAAAGATGTATGTCCAGAAAATGAATTCCTGGGGATTGTGCAGAGAGTCTCGATGAGATTGGACATAATATATACCTGTAATATTCTTATGTAATTGATGCATTCAGCATATGGAGCTGGATCCCTGTTATTGTTGATCAAATGGTAGTCGTTAGTTGATGTAGTCAACGTCATGCCCGCCGCATTAACTTCTACAACATCAACCTTCGTACTAATTATAGCCTGGTGTAACACAGAGTACACACTTCAGTTACAGGGTAGAATGCTTCCTTACTTACCTAAAAAAGAAGCAATCTAAGCGCGTTTTCACAACTGCAAGATCAGTAGCACCGATTTTCACAACTGATAGAACAGTGGCACCGATTTTCACAACTGCTAGAACAGTGGCACCGATTTTTAGAAGTGCTAGAACAGTGGCACCGATTTTCACAACTGTTAGAACAGTGGCACCGATTTTCACAACTGCTAGAACAGGGGCACAGATTTTCACAACTGTTAGAACAGTGGCTCCGATTTTCACAAGTGCTAGAACAGTGGCTCCGATTTTTACAACTGCTAGAACAGTGGCACCGATTTTCACAACTGCTAGAACAGTGGCTCAGATTTTCACAACTGTTAGAACAGTGGCACCGATTTTCCCAACTGTTAGAACAGGGGCACAGATTTTCACAACTGCTCGAACAGTGGCACCGATTTTCACAACTGCTAGAACAGTGGCACAGATTTTCACAACTGTTAGAACAGTGGCACCGATTTTCCCAACTGTTAGAACAGGGGCACAGATTTTCACAACTGCTAGAACAGTGGCACCGATTTTCACAAGTGCTAGAACAGTGGCTCCGATTTTCACAAATGCTAGAACAGTGGCACCGATTTTCACAACTGCTAGAACAGTGGCACAGATTTTCACAACTGTTAGAACAGTGGCACCGATTTTCACAACTGTTAGAACAGGGGCACAGATTTTCACAACTGCTAGAACAGTGGCTCCGATTTTCACTACTGCTAGAACAGTAGCACCGATTTTCACAAGTGCTAGAACAGTGGCTCCAATTTTCACAACTGTTAGAACAGTGGCACCGATTTTCACAACTGTTAGAACAGTGGCACAGATTTTCACAACTGTTAGAACAGGGGCACAGATTTTCACAACTGTTAGAACAGTGGCACCGATTTTCACAAGTGCTAGAAACGTGGCTCCGATTTTCACAACTGCTAGAACAGTGGCAACGATTTTCACAACTGTTAGAACAGGTCCACAGATTTTCACAACTGTTAGAACAGTGGCACCGATTTTCACAACTGTTAGAACAGGGGCACAGATTTTCACAACCGTTAGAACAGTTGCATCGATTTTTACAACTTTCAGTATCTGCGGCTATGCGATACTTCTGGACACATTTTCAAGCTTACATGCGATTACACCTTTAACCTCTGGGC